TATTTCTATTATTTGTATTTCTCACTAAAAATATCTTAAAAAAATACCCCAAAAAAAAGCAAGAACATCTACCCAAACTAAAGTCATTTAGGTGGCCACTCTAACTTACAAATTCCTTTTTAGTTTACCCAGTTAGCTGAAGCACAAAGTATTTTGTTACCCCCCTTTGCCTAGCTATTGCCGTTTTGGCCCAATTTAGTTGCCTTTTTAGTTTCTTGGCCATTTATTCCCCTGGCAATCGCTTACTTAGTCTGTTTGTTCATGACGCTCCTTTGCCGGATTCCTGCACACGTTGGCCCACTTGGTGAAGATATCAACTAGAAAATTGCTGGAGACACGCCCCCGAACACACGACGCCCCCAAAAGAAAATAACTCCATGTTCGCCATGGCCCGACCGACTCACAGCTTTGTATCTTTGTATCTTATAGATTGCCCAGCAGCTAAGCCAAGGAAATTCATCCATTACAATCACAGCAACAACAACAACAAGGATAACAGCAACTACAGCTGGAAAAACAATTTGAGCCAAAAGTTGCCACACCCACACAGCCCCGCCATTTCCCATGCCTTTGCTCCACTTTGTTTATCGCTCTTGACTTTGCTGTCTTTTTTTTTGTTTTTTTGCTCTATTATTGTTTTTCCAGGAACTTTATTGGCATTTAACCTGCAGCCCCGCCCCGCTGCCTGATTGATTAGGTCGATCGGGAAATGCTAATTACTGTCTGGCCCCCAAAGGGCAATGAATTTTCTCCCTTTGGCGGAAAATGCGATTAAATTTTTATAATTTTGTCGCTAGCTAAAAAGTGCAAATGAAAAGTTGCCGCTGGGGAAATAGATTTCTGTTTTCATTTATAGTTTTATATGAAATTCAATAAAAAGGCAAAAATAAATTAATTACTGACAAAAAATCAAAAAATTTATTGATTTGCCAAATGAACGACGTTTTTTATTGAAATTGAATTTAATGATAATTTGATTAATAAAGAGCATTTGTTTATCAATAAAAGCTTTTCATTTAATCCTCTCAACTTAAATTATATTTTAGTTCTTAAATTAATTTAATTTATTTTGCAGTTCTTGGTGATTTATTTATTTACCTTCCCGATGTCGGTCAAATTAATTTAAAATATATTTTTTGTTCCCTTTTCAGCTTGAAAAACTTCTTGGGCAACAATTAAGAAAAGTTAAAAAGAAAACACTGGGAAAAGCTGCCGGGTTAGGAAACTTTTGCTTGGGTTAAAGGGGAAAGAGGTTGGCTTTTTAATGCCTTAACCCGCTAACGCCCCGCCACAAAGTTTGTGTCGCGTTTGCTGAAGCGTTTTAGTCAACCTAATTAGCAACTTGATGATTTTTTAACGCTTTATCGAGCACTGGCAATGATTTCATTAGCCCTGGGAAAAGGGTTGGAAAATGGGAAATGTCTGAACTGGAGTGGAGTGCAGTGTAAATTGCCTCATGATTATTAAATTGCCTCCTGCTGCAGCGTGAATTTCGGTTTTGGGGCGGCATCGTTGAAAACTTGTTGAGAAGTTGAGAATGTTGCAAATTAGTTGGCTTAACTTGGCTTAGGGTTTTTGGCCCGAGGACGGGGGGCCATGAGCGCTGGCTTACGTGTGGCCCGAGGATGTTTCGGAAAATCTTTAGCATAATTGCATATGAGTTTCATAGGCCACTTAATTGTGTGGCAAAAGTTGCAGGAAGTTGAAGTACGTATGAAAAATATAAACGATTAACGGAAAATTCATGAATATCCAAGCAGGTTAAGGAAAGAGTTCGATGGATTATGTTTTTCCTACTTGATGGAATTGTGATTTTTTAGTAATTTTTCCATATATTTTTCCTCGTTTTTCCTCAGATTCAAACCCCTTTGTCTTATAAGAAAGGAAATTTCATTTGCCTACAAACGTCAGCTTGCCTTTTTGGCATTTCTTAAGTGTTTCAAACCAAAAGAAAACTCAAATCGAGCGTAAAATTCAACACATAATAATAATACTTTTTATGAGCACAGCCAGCACATCTAGCTTTATAGCTTATCACCTACCGAAACTCACCCCAAGACCCACACACACAGGCCCAGCAATGATATAACAATCTTTACAATCTTCAAACGAAAGAAAACGAAACTTGTTTGCCTTGGAGCTTAGGAAAATCAAACAAGAAAGGCCATAACAAAAAAAGGCAGGGGGAAAACTAAAGATCACAAAGGAAGGGAATGCTAATAATATTAAAGAGAACTCTTAGAAAGAAGTTATAGAAGGAAATTAACTAAGGCTGTCCATAATTCACCATAATCAGCTATCTTAGGCATCTGTGATTTAGTGGGAAACTTAGAAAATCTTTTTTTTTTAATGATCGCCTGACAAATCCTATTTGCACGCCCAGCAAGGAAAATCAATTTTCCGGAAAGAAAAATTGGTTAGAAGAATAATAATAAAATGTTCTTTAAGACTTCATTTCGGGCCGCAACCCTTCTTTCGCCGTTTATCTTTTATCATCGATCAGTCTTAGGAGGGGCCACTTTTTTTATGATCATGCTAAGAAGTTTTCCCTCTTCTAAAAGCGGTGACTCACGGGTGGAAACCTTTTTCGTTTTCGTTTTTTTTTTTTTTTATATACATTTCGTTTAATGGCAATTAGTTGGAAAATTTGTTCAATTACCGATGCTCTGAAGGATATTAAAGTCTGTCTAGTTTTCCGGGAAATCGCACATTCTGTGGTTCGGTAAAACAAACAGAAGATGCGTCTCGAAGGTGGAAATAAAACACCGTCTCGTTATTATTATTGTGTAATGGCTGTCTGAGGTCTGGGTGCCACTGCCCACACGGGCGGCAAAACTCAGCAGCCAACGCACAACAATCTTGGGATTTTAAGAACTTGAGAAGAAGTTCTCAGCCAGTCAGCAGGAACCTAACAGACATGGGCGTAAAGCCAAAGCTGTTGATGTGGTTTGAGATGAAGATGATTGTTACACTAGGAGAAAAACTTCTTTAGTACTTAATGTTGGGGTTAAACTTGAATTTATCCTAAAATCAATTTTAAACTTTATTTCCTTTATGTTTGAAGTTTATTTTTCTTATTTATTTTTATAATTCATACTTGGCAATCAGTAAAAAATAATCATCATTTCAAAATAATTTTATTTCCTATTAATTTCTATCTAATTTTTCCCTCTGTGTACAATTTTCCCGAAGAAGATTGTGTGGGAGATTGCTGACATTTTATTTTATGATGCTACATGCACAATGTCCAACTGAAATTAAATTCTGCTCTTTAAACTGGTTAAGCTAACGAATTTCCAGGCTGATCAGCCGGGATTGGTAATAGATTTTGTCATAATTTTCCTTTTTCTTGGTTCCGCCAAATGTTGCTGGCAACATGTTGCTAATAGACGTGATACTCTCTTGTGGATCGCAACATTTGTTGGCAATGTAACGCGTTGGCCCAGTGCTCTCAACATTTCCGGCGGGCGCATCTGCCTGCGACTGAAATCCATTCGAGATCCCGTGTACCAGTCGTTATCTGAACGTCGGGAACTGTGGATTTGTCCGCCCCTCCGTGGAGCAACGCGATTTCAATTTGTAATTTACCGGAGTGTTGGTATTAACTTTTATGGAGCTCCGACTCCAAAGCCATCTGGCCCAGGAAATCAAAACAAACAAATCATTGCACAAACAAGCTAACGTATAACGTATACTATAAATCGTGGCTATATACTCGAATGTGCGTGAGTGGATCTGTGGGTGTGTGCGTTTTTTCTCGCCTCCTGGCACCGCATCAAAAATCGCGCGCGGTTTCTGCGGCAGATTTATGTCCGCGGTAATTGGTGGAAGCCAAAAATCTAATAGCCATTAATCAAAGTTGGTGAACAAATTGACGAAGAGCTCAAAGGAAAGGGAATGCTAAAGATTATTAAAAAAATTAAATGACAATTATTAAGTGTTAATTTCTTAAAAGAAAATATGCTTAAAATTTTAAACATCAAGTGAAAATTAATGTGAAAAGCTTAAAAGAAGACAAGAAGAATATATATAGAATATATATAAAATCTAAACACAAAAGTATTTCCCATATTTCTTATTGTCAACACAAAAGAAAACTCAATTAAATTTTTAGAATAAACTAACAAGAAACTTAAACCTTTTAAGTCCAATTTTCCAAAGTTAAACAAACAAACTCTGAGATATTCCAAACAAAAAGTATTAAAACAAAAACTTACTACTTTTACTATAGCTACTTTAATGAATGAAAGAAATCGAAAGTGAAAATCAAGATTTTACTTAAAATCACAAAATAAAACTCGCAGCAATAAACAAACAAGGCCCCGCGTACAAATTTAATGTCATAAAAAAATCAACAAAAAGTAAAACATTCTTCCCGAAAACAATTAAAGTTTAATTTACAAAAAAACAAGCAACTTTATTTCCAGTTATGAGCCATTAAAATTCCCTTTAAGCAAATAATATGCGAATTATTTAAGCCGTCAACAAGTGTCAAAACATAAAGCGGCAATATTAATTGCAAATTGTGAGACAAAAGAAAATGCTTTAAGCAAAAACAAAAACGACAAAGAAAAGTCGACAACGAACGCGTGTGAAAAGTGTAAAAAACAAAGAACGGTTTATTTCTAGAAAATCAACTAAGAAACAAAAAAAAAAAAAACAATGCATTTCCCAAGGGGAAACCGAATGATCTTCAAAATGTATTGGCTAATTCTGATGCTAATGCCCCTGGCCTGGGCCAACGGCAGCGATTTGCGGGGCAGCCATGTAATGACCACAGTAGCTCCCTCTTCTCCGGGTCATCGTAGTGCCCACAAGCAGCAGAGATTGCAGCAATACCAGCAGGCACAGCAACTGGAGGCCCATCAGCCACACCATCGGCATTTGCGGCACGAACAGCACTGGCGGGCCGAGCTGGAGGGGAATCACCAGCCACCGATCTCGGACTTTAAAATGGATGGATCCAAGAAGACCTACTTCTATCCACAGTCGCCGCCGCCGCCCATGCAGCAGCACCACTTGCGTCATCACAATCGCCATCATTTGAGTTGGGAACAGGCGGTGAATAATCCCTCACTGCTGCCACATCAGCCACATCGCTTGGCCATCGGAACCAAGACTATCATGACCACTGAGGCACCCTCAACCACACATCATGGTCTGATCACAAATCACACTCGTTACTTCGACAGGGGTGAGACCTACCTCTCTTGGGCTGAACCTCGTTCTACCAGGGCTCCCAACTGGCGACAGGAACTGGATACCAGTGATTCTGATGCGGATAGTGATGAGGACGACTACGAGTACGACAGGGATTCCGATTCGGATATTGATGATAACAATGAAGATGGCAAGCAAATGGCCAGTTACTCCCTTTTTAATAATTGGAAAGAACCGGAGTACGATGCCTTCGATCAGTCGGATGAACTGGAAATCGTTAGTCACCATCATAACAAGCATCCCAGTGTGGCCAATCCGCACGTGAAGACCGCTGGCAAACGCTATATATGGGATTGGTTTACCAAAAAAGATACGGAAAAGGTAGTTAAAAAGCCGCATGCCACAAGTACCACATCGACCACAACCTCAACGACCACAACTAAGAGACCCATAATGCGTACCGAGAGGCCAGGGCTGCAGCTAATCGATGCCAATCTAAAAAACAACAACGGTGGCGAAGAGGAGTACTCGAACGAGGATTCGGATTCGGACTCGGAATATCAGTCGGATGAGGGTGTCTCTGTGGAAGAGTGGAATAAGAAGGATCACAGCCAGAAATTCCAGAAGCAAAAGAACCAAAATGAGCTCTTGGAGATGCGTAGGAACAGCAGGAACACCCCTCTCATTCGGAGCTCTACGAACGAGGTGAGTCTGGCATTGCACCCATTGTTCTGGATTCACTGATAACTCTGATGCCATGATGATGTCATTAGCCATTGTTGTTGCTCTGACATTGCTCCATAATGTGAGCACGGCGATGATGATAAGAGATTCTGTTTATAGACAGCGGGAAAATGTAGTAAATAGTGGCCACAAATGACCAAAGCATTTTCAGAGCCAGAGTCTGGGTTTCGGTTTCACTTCTGACTTTGGCGGTTAGTCATGCCGAAAATAAGTCAGTAAACATAGTGCACTGTGGAAAATAAAGTTAACTATTAAAATCAACTATGATATGACATAAAAAAGTCATCTTAGGCACTTGTTGTTCTTTTTTGTCATCCATTACGAACTTCGTTGTACGAAGAGTGCTCTTTATTTCCTTATTTCTTATTCTTATGTTATTTCTACATTTATTGGTGACATTTGCTGATCGTGCGAACAGGACAGACATAGTGTTCGTTAGCAAGAACTTTATGCAAAAGTAAGGGAGAGGTATACATTGTGCTTACACATAACTGTGTATAGTTGAATGATATGAATGATATGAATGATATGAATGATATGAATGATATGAATGATATGAATGATATGAATGATATGAATGATATGAATGATATGAATGATATGAATGATATGAATGATATGAATGATATGAATGATATGAATGATATGAATGATATGAATGATATGAATGAAATATTAATGATATGAATGATATGAATGATATGAATGATATGAATGATATGAATGATATGAATGATATGAATGATATGAATGATATGAATGATATGAATGATATGAATGATATGAATGATATGAATGATATGAATGATATGAATGATATGAATGATATGAATGATATGAATGATATGAATGATATGAATGATATGAATGATATGAATGATATGAATAATCATTCATTATCAAAAAGAATTGTTCCTGAAAAAGTTGCAGTATTTCTTAGATCTCGTTCCACTGTGCGTACCAAGAAGATTATTATGAACTTTATGCAAAAGTAAGGGAGAGGTATACATTGTGCTTACAACTAAGTGTGTATGAAAAAGTTAGTGTGACTGTTTGTTACACATGCTAGTGTGACCGCCTGCTGACCCCGCCAGTGTCTTAACAATTTTTATTAGTTTACCGTTTATGAGAGAATAGAGAAATAGAGAAAACTAAGCATAAGAAACTTCTCTCAGTGTATTGCCGTCATTCACCTAGACATAACGCACTGACCATGGCTAATGCCGTTTGCATTTTGGCTAACAACAAAACCAGACATGTAGCTCTGCTCGATGTTTTTGGTGTTCATGTCAAATATTTACACAATGTGGAAAGGGTTTGGGGGATAGCAGCTGGCTTTTTGGCAATTCGGCACTTTTTGGCTAACCATTGGCTGGCCATTCACCATTGCGGCTTGGCTAATTGAAACCAGCTAGTGGGCCAGCAAAAATCAACAGAATGCCCCAGCAACCAACATTTGCAACAACACTCAACAATAACAATTAATTCGTTGCGTTTGATTTGCACTTTTCGGATGCCATTCCATTCTATTTGCTTTGAACTGTCTGTTGACAGAGGTTCTACATTCTTTTTCTGCCCCTCTGCTAATTGCATTTTCATGGGTCTTGTGAATTTCGCGACCCCCTCGAGGTCACCGCCCAACTTGGTGTAATTACCTTTTAGAAAAAAAAGGACCAATTAGATTAGCCCCAAAGCAAATAATGTTCGTGGAAACGGGGCGGGTAAATGAAAATACGCGGAGTTATCTGCTTTAGTTTGTTTTTAGTGTTCGATGTTTATTTTTATTGGCCCGGCATTTTGGCTTTACTGCAGGTAAATTGAGTTTAGCTGTCACTGAGATGAGCTTCCATGTTAATGTCCTTCAGCCAACGAAGTCGTTAAGTTGGAATGGGGAATGGTATTAAAAACAGTCAAGAACTTGTTAATGAAGGTGGGGTGAAAAGAAGTTAAAGGTATTTATTTGCAAGTAGTTAACATATATTAAGGAGTCAGCAAATTAATATTTTTAACAAAAGATATTTTTGAGCTTACATACATTTGTTCAAACTGCCGATTATCCCTTAACGAAATGTTTACTTTCCCCCCGAAAGGAGTCTTAATTTGAAACCAAACAATCAAACGAAGTAAATTACATTTTCATATTTACCCATAAAATCAAATCCATAATAAATCATTATCCTAGCCCCCTGCAATTAACATTTATTTCCCGCCTGAATGCAAAATCTTAAATATTTTCCCAATTAATTCCAACTCAATCGAAATTAAAACGCATGAAAAAATTTAATTAAAAACATAATCGAAAATTTAAATGTGAATTAAGGGTTGACGCGGTTATTTGTGCTGAAAATGTAAATGGGAAATGCACTCGAAATATTGTTAACAGCTAAATAAACACTTGGCTAAAACAACGAGCTTAATAAGAGCAACAACAAAGGCCAGCTGCGTGTAAAACAACACAACGAAAACAAAATAAAAGGTAACCAACAACAGAAGCGGAGGGAAGTGAAAGGTTGGGGTAGGACGGCAGGTGAGCCATCAAAATAACAAGGCGCCACCGCCCCATTTTCCCCAACCGATTTTCCTGTTCTCCACAGAACAATACAATTAACACATGTCTGCGGATGGCGACGGCTACTCTCTGGGTTCTTTCTTTTACCTTTCCCTCCTCCGGATGCACTGCATCCTTCCTTCCTTCCTCTTCCTCCCTACCCATGGCAAAGGGGAGTTTTTGCTGCCAATAAACTCTGCAATTTTCCCGCCATGTTAACATGACACAGACTTTACCCAACTTACCTTCCATTTAATTGGCATCTTTTTTGGCGTTTAATTCATTTTATTTGGTTTGGAAACTCATTTTATATTGAGTCTCTCTGTTCGTTAATGAGCTCTTACCTCGGATCATTTTGAGTGACTTTTAATTAACATTTCTGGTTTGCTGGACATTAAAGGAAATCAAATTAATTTGTTTAACAAATTGCTTTAATTATTTACTTATTTTTAAGTTAAAAATGGTTAAATACGGAAAATAATTTAAATGAGAACCACATTGGTTTTTCTTAATCCCATAAAGCAGGGATGCTCAAATTCGTCTTACGGCAGAGCAATTAGTAATACAAATACAATAAAAAGTACACATATGTACATATTTAGTGACGCATTTGTGTTGGTTTGCAGCTGTGCATTGAGTCAGTGGAATAGCAAGGAGCTTCGAGGATGATCTAGAAAGAAACAAAAACAAATTGTATTACAGTTAGCAAAGGAATGAGACGGAATTAGAGTTATAAGGAATGATTTCCAGTGCTAGTGTCCGAAGAGGATCAAGGAAGAAACAAGAAACAAATTGTATTACAGTTAGCCACGGAATGAGGCGGAAAGGGGAAAAGAAAAAATTGCCAGTGGAATAGCAAGGAGTTTCGAGGATGATTCTAGAAAAAAACAAAAACAAATTGTATTACAGATAGCAAAGGAATGGGACGGAAAAGAAATTCGAAAAATTGTTAGTGAAATAGAGCCGCGAGCGCTCAAACCTTATGAGAGAGCAATCGCAAATGCAGAGAGCATTTACAAAAACAAATGAGCACTAAGTGCATAGGCATTGATGAGCGCCCCTGCCTAAATTTGCTAAAATCATATTTTTTTAATGCCTCTTCTCACTTGTCAAAACGAATTAAATATTTAAAATAGTAAAAACAAATTCCATCGCGGCCTGCCTGTTGAAAAATGTTCAACTGAAAATCCTTGTTAGCCTTTAAACCAGTTCCGGTTTGTTTGAATGAAAAAGGAATTAAAAAACCGAAGGTCAGATTTGCAATTCAAATAAAATGTCTCCTTTTTATTGTCGGCTTGCAGTTTTCACCTTTCGATTTCGTTGAAAGTGTTGCATAAAAAAAAGTTTATATTGAACAAATTTAATTTTCTTATATAAAATGCAATTTGGTTAGGCTTTTGGTTGATATTGCTGAAAGGCTTGGTGTGTTGTTTGGGAGAGTGAGAAAAGTTTCACAGGCCCTAAAAGATTTTCTCGTTCCTCCCAAACTTTTCCCAACTTAAATGCACATCCCTCATTTGCACCACCCTGCAGTTTTCCTCCCATTTCCCACCAAAAAAAGAGACCTGTCACAGCCACAAATGCTGTCACTTCTTTCATAGCTTTTCCATCTGCTGTTGTATCAGTTTGTGTTCCTAAGGTTTTAGCCGTCTTTTGTGGGCGTGTTTTTCCCATATTGCCGACTTTGCTTGTTTTCTTCCTGTTTCTGCAGCTTCCGCTCTTTCTCTTAGCATTCTTTTGCACTTACCGGATCTTTGGAAAAGTGCAGAAGAATCCACAGTCAGCTTGGCCTTTGTGTGGCGATATGTCAGTGGCGGTTGAGGAATGACATCGGAAAACCACACACGCACATCGTTTACCACCCACCGGTTGTCGCTGAAGGTTGTCGCTGCGGTTGCAACGACCTTGAAGCTCAAAAGCAGCGGGAGCCATCGTGGCCCACAATAAAAGTGGTAACAATTATAGAGACTCGTTCATGGCATGAGGAGAGGGGACTCGAAAAGTAATCAGTTGGTTTATAGTAGACTAAGAATAGGTTTTCAGAGAGTAAAGCTAAATCATTGGAAAATCTTATAAAATTAAACATAACTTTGGAAATATTCAACTTACTAACAACAAATACAACCACATATCAGTAGTAAACCTATCATATTTCAAATCTTTACCGACTTCATTAGGCCCAAGAAAGCCACAAACACAAAGCCAAAATGAACTGCAGTTGCTGACTAACGAAAGCTAAATTTACATACGTTTTGCATTTCCAATAAGTCCAGTGTTTACCTTTGCCAGTTGCCAACTTGATTTGGATACAAATTCAATATTTTTTCACCCAAAAAAACTGTCCGTTTCAGCTTGGCTGCCGTATGAAAAGCAAATAATCAACCTTTTTGCTTTCATAAAGAATTTTCTTCTA